ATATGGGGATATAAATAATAATCCATGATCATTGTTAAGTATTCAAATTTATTTCACTATTTGAGTGCACATGATATGCAAATACATTATTCATTTTGACTCTGAATTACAAAAATATATTAAAAATATATTTCAACCTACAATTATGCAAATACAGAATAATAATTTTATGTATTTTACATACAGTACCTTTTTATCTGTATTTTTATAAATGCACACTAAACTCAAAAGTTTGGGGTCTGTAATATAAAAAATAAAAAAAAAATCTGTTATGCTCACCATGGCTTAATTTATTTGATTAAAAATACAGTAAAAAAACAGTAGTATTGTAGTATTAAAAAAAAACCTTTCTATTTAAATATATTTTAAAATTCTATGGTAATGCTGAATTTTCAGCAGTCAATTCTTTAGTCTTCAGTCACATGATCCTTCAGAAATAATTCTAATATGCTACATTTGGTTTTCAAGAATCACGGCTTATTATTTTCTTATTATACTTTTTTTTTTACAATTTTTATTTTCTCTTTCAAAAAAGAAAAAAAAACAAAAAAACAATGACCCCACACTTTCAAATGGTAGTGTATATTTTTATCTTCTTACAAGAGAGTGAAAAAAAGAATCACTGTTTGTAAATTATCTTCAAAGAAGCTCTGTTTAAACCCAAAATGTTTTTAAAAATCACTGTGACTGTACAATATTTCTAATTATTACAGTTTTCACTAAGGCTCGGCTGAGAATCTAGTCTCAATGTGCGCTTTCTGCTTAATGCTATGAGCAAATGTATGTAATGGATTCTGAGCATTCCTCTCTTAGAACAAGTAATGCTGCTAGTCTGACATGCAGTGACTCATTCAACATAAAACAGGTTAACCCGGCTACACTGCTACCTGTTTCCATTCATGTTTGTCGCCCAGGCCATTTATATTTATTCCTAAATTGTTTCGGTTTCATGGCGCCAGCATGAGTGCAAGTCAAGTGACAATAAACCACCAATACGATGGCATACAGTATGCACACGGCAGCAAATATAGATTGAGGTATGCCTCCACAGAATGAATGGAAGAATGCAAAAAGGAAATAATCAGGAAGGCTGAGAATATATTTTTGATTCAAAGCTGAATTGTGTTGTGAATTGTGCAAAATCAGCGTCAATAGCATTAACAGAACTGCATAAATTATGACTGTGTGCAAACCGGTTTCCAATTCCACCCATTCTCCAGTTTGTCACTGGACGACAGAATGGAGTGTTGAAAGCACTTTCCAGGGAAACAGGTTACCAGTTGTCTCCGCACATTAACCCGGGATGGGGGAAAGCATTTTAGCATCCACATGACTACATGCTTCAGCTTTAACTAATGCAGTTTGTACATAGGAAAACTCTTGATGAGTGCATTAAGCATATTATATGTGTTCATTAAGAATACATAAAGGCATTTGGGTCATTTGATACTAAAATAGCATCTCAGGTTTGCTCATCAAATCCCTGCACTTGGCTCATTTGCAGTTACATCAAAATTGTAAGCAGCAGTGTCTTTTAGTAGCGGTTTGCGTCATCGTAAGAGCTGAGATCTACATCAAAGAAGTCCTCGAGTTTCCACTGCAGAGCTTCAAAGGTGGGTCTGTCTGCAGGGGAGTCCTTCCAGCATTCGGACATGATGTCATACAAATATTTTGGGCAGTTAAGAGGGTACGGCATCCTGTAGCCTTTGGACAACTGTTGTACCACCTGAAAGTTTGTCATGGCTGGAGAAAGAGTGAAAAGCAACATTAAAATCCTTCAATGCTTTGACCTGGTCAAACTTTACTGTATAGCATATAACAATGGTTCTCAACTTGTGGGTCGAGATCCAAAAATGGGTTGCAAGTTTGTTCTTACCCTTGTACAAAAATCACACAAAAAACAGAAACAGAGAAAATAGAATATTAAATGCAGTTCAGTGAGGAAGGGCTGCAGTTCATACTGATATTAATACATTTTATAATTTGGTTTTAAGGACCTTTTTTATTTTTGTACAATAAACTTTGTTTCATTAGGAACCAGACTGTACATTGAACATAAACTGGCCCAGTATGGTGATATATATTTCCTACTGAAACACTGAAGGAATTTTTTCTTTTTAAAAATAGTCAGTAGCCTTTAGTTTACATCACACCATAACTTTCTACTTGATACTGCTATTGGATTGTGCCCCTGAAGCCTAGACATATTATTAGTATTTTGGTCTATTTTTCTGTATGAGAACGATGGGTACAATAAGCGAAATTATAAATGAGAATGACGTACTTGGGTAAGGAATCTGTCCAAATGTCACAATTTCATATAGTAGGATCCCAAAAGACCAAACGTCAGATTTGATGGTGAATTTGTTCTCGTGGATGGCCTCGGGAGCAGTCCATTTCACTGGAAACTTGGTTCCTTCTTTGGCCTCATAAACATTCTCATTTTCCATCTAAAGAAATCATGCAGTGAGAAAGCCAAAAGTACAGTTTTTGTACTTTTTACCCAAAATCAGTGCATACAATATAGCAGTGGTTCTCAACAGATTGGCTTCAGAACATCAAGTGGTCAATCAA